TTCCAGCCGCACCTTTAGTCGGTTTGACCAGCCGACTGCTACGGGGTCACAGCAACCTCCATCTTCCAAATCTGCCGGGCCTGTAAGTCATCTTATGACTTGCTTCTGTTTCAAGGGATTTTCACTTGACTATTTATGGTCTATATTCTTATTTGCGACCATCAAAGCTGGCCTTGTCATTGCAATTGTCTGGGATTTACTCAAACATCTATTCGCGATTAGTGTAGTAATTAGGGATTTATTTGGTTATCTATATTCTTAAGTGGCTGCTCGAAGTGAAGACAAACCAAACTAGAATCGAGCTTGGTAGTTAAGATATTGAAAATTATGGAGCCTAGACCAGTGGGTCCAGGGAGTTCACAATCAGCTTATTATTTTCTCAGCGTAATGGTACAATTTAATTATTCTTTTTTCCCCTCTGATACTTGTCACATCTAATTATTTCAACAAGTGCTATATTTAGGTTAGGTGATTGAGCCTTTTGTTACTGCTTCTTCACGTCTAATAATAGATTTTCCTATTTAATTTGAGTCCGGATTCGAAATATACTATTTTAATTTCACAGTGCATTCTCATTTATCCTTTCAGACGTCTGCTCTTAATTTGTCTTCCATTTTATGATGAAATCAAGGTCTGACCTGTTGCATCAATGGATCGTCGTATTCGATGATTAATTGTTAGCACCGGCCCGCTGATGCAGACCCACTCATCCTTGCTCTGATTTCTATATTTTTTTATATCTCTACTCCAAATGGTGACATTCTACCTTTTTACAGTCTGCCTCTGCCTATAGTTATGGATACGGAGCCCAGCAACCAAATCAGGGCAAGCAAGAACATCAGCAGCAGCCACAGTCTGCCTACGGTGGTTATAGCAATGCTTATGGCTACTCTTACGGTCAGGATTCTGGTTCCTCTGTCGCGAATGCTTCGGACCCTAGCAAGTCGAGATTCAATTCCAGCTCTTCTGGAGCGGGCAAGCAAAGTGATCCTTCTGCGGCTGTGGTAGCAGCCTATGCATCGTACTACGCTTCTTATAGTGGCCAACCTGGCGCGCCCCCTGTGCCTCCTCCACCTCCACCCTCACAAGTACCTTCGCAACACCAGACGCCATCCCAGCAACAGCAGGCTCAGCATTCTCAGGCGCCTGTCGGAATGGGGGCTTACAATACATGGCCGAGTGGCGTGAGCGCTGCCTCTGCTCCGCCTCCTATTACTGGGCCAACTGGAATGACACCCAATTCGGCAGTTCAACCAAGTAATTATTCGGCCTATTACCAGCATTACCCGCCCCCTGCACCGGGTTATCCTTCTACAGGAATGCCACCGCCTCCGACAGGTCCGCCACCTGGAGCAACTGCGGCCCCTCCAAGCATGTCCCAATATTATGGCATGTATATGTACCCTCCGGCGCAGTGATGCGGAAGCGATTTCCTACCCCTTCGATTTATCCTTATCGAATATCAAGGGATTAGTAGCTATTTCGCCTCCGTCCCTCTCGTCCCAAGTTGTCAATTTCTGCTTTGCTTGTCTGACATTTTAGTATCCTCGGCACACGTCACTCGTATGTACACATTGTTGCTGTTTTACGTCATTTCGTAATGTTTTCTTTTCCAACCAGCATTAAAAAAGAAGGACAGTACTGTATAGACGGCTATTTCTTTTTTGAATCTAGACATACGGATAATACAAATGAGATGATTTAACAAATAAGGACCTCGTTAATTGTATATGTGGGTCTGTATGTATATATATATATATATATATGCCTTCTAAAGCTGATCTGGTGGCTGCCAATAGATGGCTGAGGCATTTTGATCGCCCAACCACGCGGCTTCCTTCCATTCCGGTAGGTAGGGCCGCGGAGTCTGGGCAGAAGGCGTTCCGAGACTTGGCGCCCTGCTTCGACGCCTGAATGCTGCCATCGCGCTTTCTGGATTTGTTGCCGTCTGACTGCTTGCGAGCCCGGAGTATGACTGTTCGGGCCGAGCTGTTACGTGTTCGTTCCAAGCTGCCCTGAACTTTTCCCAGCGTGCGTCGTCGGCCCCTGCGGTCAGGAACCTCGCGCCTCGGCCACATGTTGATTCCAGTCGTCGCAGGTCGCACCAGCAGACATAGTCCTGGTAATGAAAGCAAATCACAAGTGCTTGTGTATTGTCAGGTGTTGTATGGGCGCCGAGGCCGTTAGTGCTTCCAATCTGATGCCGCATTATCATGTGAGCACTCCTTACAACATCTGTCTACGCGCATTTACTCTGTAAGCCAGGGGTGTGACGCATTGACGACCACACAAGTAGAAAGTGGGCTAGGTATGTGAGACTAATGAGACTCAAACGGGATTTAAACTGCATTCGATCCTTGGGTATCAGGGAGGAGTGGAGTTCAGTGGCTCCGTGAGGCCTACTCTCATCGTGGGAAAAGCCCAAAATCGTGTTAAGTGACCTAGGGTAATTGTGCTTGCCTTGGCTTTAAATTCGCTGGGCGCGAAAGTCATTTCGAGTATTTGTAGTCGGACCCGATTTCAATTAGGCTTTCGCCATATCTAATTCTAGCCTACACTTTGAGAATAGGTGAAGTGATGGAAGCTGTTTAGTCTTCCTCGCTTGATTGTGTACAGGTAGATACATGCATCAGCATACAGTTCTTGAACTCACTCCTCGGTGAGACCATTGATCCGCATTTCTGGGATGCCCACGTTTTGCTCAAATGCTTCGACTAATAGGTTGTCTATATTGTCTGGTGTTCCTTTCTTAATACTTTACCTTCGAGATTCAATTTTTATTGGGGCCGCCTCAAATAGGCCTGGCAGCTATCGCCGCTCCACTTCTGGTGGTGATTTGGAAGTCAATACAAAATGAACGCTAGTTTTGTCTATTCGCATTCCAGGAAGTCGTACTATCGTCGGAGTTAAGCTATTTGGTCTAAAAGCCACTTTCTTGAGGCTCTTTATCCTTCCGTATCAATTTATTCAAGAATTCCAGGCCTACATTTTGTATTCTCTAATGAATTACTGTATTTTTCCGGGTAGATGGTGCTGAGATTATTCGTCTCGCCAGTATGCACCCTTTTACTGTCAACTATTTTGGTTGGCCTATCTTCCTGTCACTCGATATATTTGTGTATATACATGCGGGTGGGCGCGAAATAATAGTTCCCCTTTTGGCCGGTTAGAACAGCATAGCACGCCTTGGGTCCTTATTAAGGCTCGCTTGGCAAACGTTATCATGTTTGCGTAGTAATTAACGAATCTGGTCCAGTTAGGATTTTTCTTGAAAATTTGTGGCTGATCATGAGCCATAGGTAGGGACTGGTTGGGTCTTTCTTTTTAAGAGCAATCGTGTTCAAGATTTTTTTTCCCAGAATATCAGATATTTTTTACAAGCCTGCCGTTTTGATGCTTTGCGGACGGCCTGTAGGCCAGTCGACAAATTGAAATATCAACTGAAATGTAACGTTTAACAAGCGAACGGTTGCCTCGAACACACAGACTCCCCTTGATTGGAGAGTTCTGTACTATAACTGAGGCATGTCTAGATCAACAGACACTTCCCTATTTAACGCAGAACCTCAGCATGATGTGACTATCTGGCACTTGGCAGGAACACTCTAATGAGGAAGATACATTATCTAAAATAGATAG